TGTGCTAGCTATTTACTACTTGATAGACTATGAATGATCATATTTAGCATCAATATTTGTCGAAAAATTAGTTTATTTTAATCCGTTTTAATAAAAATCATTTTTTGTGTAGATTTTGACCAGGGAGCTATTTCATCTTTATTGGTGGAACACCAACAATCTCTGCACTTTATTTGGATGTATTTTGTTTTGTGAAAATGTGCAAAACAAATACCAGGACCCACAGCTCTACATTCGCAGTATTCAGTCAACAAAGCCATCAACAATTTCTTTAGTATGACAAAGTACTCGATGAATCGTGCAAAAATATGATTACCGTAAATTATCGTCGCATTTATTCGTTCTGCTAATAGTATTTAATAACGAATATCATCGGTCTTTCGTTTTTATTCTTTTGAGAGGTTGTCACTGATTGATGATTCAAGGTTGCTTTTCCTCGAAAAGGTCTTCGTGCGGGTATGGGATGTGTAAGAATATTTCTTCGTTTCACCCACACCATCATTAATTTCTGATCCCTTCTTTTTGTCGAAGGAATCTTCATAATGGAAGTGAATTTAATTGTTGATATCGATCTTCAGTAGTTATTCTAACGTACGGATCTAATCCGTCGAATTAAACTATCACCATTGAAAACTAACTCAACTGAATTTGTTTTCTAGAAATAAATTCAATTCAAGCGATTAAAAATTTCACATCAAAGAAAAAATAGACAGCTAGGTAAACTAATTGTCCTGTTCAGGTCTCTGATTTGAACCGTCCATCGTGATAAAGAAATATATATTCATCTTTCTACTGCATTTGCCATGAATTGTTTTGTAAAAGTATGATTTTCTTCCTTTGAGACATAACGCTCGTTTACACTATTCGTGTATGTTTTTATGTTTCTATGTGAAGCTCTTCTTCGCAGAATACATATTTAAAAAGAATTTTAAACAAAACAAGAACAGCAGACAAAGCGAAAAGCATTACCATGCAGTAAAAGAAAGAAACAAATCATTTGAGAACAAGACATGGTTTAACTAGAAAAATCTAACACTGAAAACAACACATCAAATTTCCAGAAAACTTCGGCTTCAAATATTTGACCGTGGTGAGTAAACGACTAGGACGATTCGAAAAGGCAAATAAACCTTTTTTGAGCGTCATTCATATACATAGCGCAAAGAAAATGCGAATTTTGGAAAAATTGAAACAGATATGAAAATGCCACCCATCGAATTTTATCGATGTACATCAGTTTGAGGATCATTCCGCGTATAAGGGCTGTCATCAAGGGCAAATTTGCTGAACTGAATGCTAATTTTTGGAAATCAAGTGCTGATGCATCGCCTCATTATTTGAGAATAGTTTAATGAATCTAGAAGCATATGTTTGAATCGGGGCGGTCCCTTTCATCCTCTTTTTTTTTACGGACATCGGTCGGAGAAGTCCATTCCGAACTTCAGTTGCCGGATGTTCGGAATGAAAACGCCGGAAGGTCGGAATGAAAAAGACCGGGTGTTCGGAATGAAAGTCGTCTAGATGTTCGGAACGGAAAANATCCTGTATTTTTTCATTCCGAACATCTAGACGGTTTTCATTCCGAACATCCGGAAAATTAATTTTATGTTTCATATCCGATTTCGAACATCCGGTTATTTGGTCGGATGTCCGAAAGAGGTAGGATGAAAAGGGACGCACCCGTTTGAATCAAAGTGAAAATTAGTGCTGTAGAAATTAAAATCACTGATAGGAAAACATTTTTACTGACACAACAATAGGTTAGTAAAATGTTTGATCTTGTTGTTGGAAAAATCGGCTTTTACATATAAATGTTCCTGGTTTTCGTGACATACAATTTAACAGGGTGTGGGTGTAAATGTGGGAGAGAGTTTGAGTTAGGTTTATTACGTTACTATTACTGGTAATAAATAATAAGTTGGAAAAGTAGTAAGTAATAAAAACGCTCATTGGCGCAGCCTTTCTGAGGCTTCAATGTGGAACTTATATGTATCCTTTAGGCTCAGTAAACTAATGCCAAATAGGTTAAGTGAAAATCATTCATAAAAATTCAGCCTATTTCTAACATCTGTAATTAGGACATTACCTATTTCCTTATGTCTGTGATGAAAAAAGAAAGAAATAGCACTCTAATTAGGATAGTCTCCAATTAGCGCAATGGTAAACTCAATAATGTCTATAAATGGGGAATGGAAGGATGGGAAACCACCAAAAACGTTGCCTTAAAGCTTTCACTCACTATTCCTAGATATGACCTGCCATGGAATGAGAACATAACTCGTTACTAGGGGACAAATTGCTGTATGTTACATGTGAAAATCAATATTGAGCAAAGTAACTACGATATGCCTTTATTTCTGCTCTAGAAAGCAATAATGGGCTGTGGTAATTCAGTGCAGCCGGTGGTGAGTTCAAATGCATTGAACTCATCTATTATATCCAACAACTCCAATGCCTTTCCAGTATCTCAAAACATTCCTACTACATCACATCCAATCCAAGCAATTAACGCAAATCAACTTGGTCGACGAAATGTCGAAAACTTTGTTCTGATGTGGCTAGACGCAACTCAGAATCAAAATGAATTAAGTGTGTTTCGATCCATTTGTAATGAGATTAATCTATTTTCATCGATCGATATGTGCCTTGCTGCCATCGCTAGTGTGAAGAATGAGATAGTTTTCGTAATCGTCTCTGGAACTCTTGGTCAACAATTCGTTTCTCTTCTTCGTTCATATCAGCAAATCGATTCTGTTTATATATTTTGCAGCAATAAGCAAAAACATCAACAGTGGTCATCAAAGTTCCCTATTATCAAAGGCGTTTTCACCGACTTGAAGTCTATTTACACTCAAATATTAAGCGATAAAAAACGAGTTGGACAGAGTCTTATTGGTTTTAACTTAATTAGATCACGAAATACAGTGGATTCGAAAAATGTGCAAGAGGTCGAGTTTATGTATGCGCAATTAATAAAAGATGCTTTATTACAACTTCAAGATACCGATGTAACCGATATGATCGCTTGCAGCCGTGATCAGTATGAAGGTAATACCGCAGAACTGAACCTGATACATGAGTTTCAACGAAATTATAAAGACAGTTCGCAAGCTATTGAATGGTATACGCGTGAAAGTTTTGTCTATAAAATGCTGAATAAGGCTCTTCGAACAATGGACATTGATGTAATGTATGCTTTTCGGGTTTACATTCGCCATCTTCACGAACAGCTTAATAAACTAGTCATTCAGCAATCTGCTGGACATAATTCAACGTTGACTCTCTATCGAGGGCAAGGCTTAAGCAAAGAAGAGTTTAAAGGATTGAAATCAAATGAAGGTGGTTTTTTCTCGGTAAAAACGTTTCTTTCTACCAGTTCAGATGAGAAGACAAGCATCTGGTTTGCTAAACAATGTCAAGGCGATGTCATAAAAATATTACTTAAGATTTATGTTGATTTCAGAGCAAAACTTAATGTGCCCTTAGCCGATATTGCATCATTTAGTGATTATGCAGAGAGTGAATATTTGATTTCGATGGGCTCCATTTTCCGTATTGATAAGGTGAGTGAGGGAAATGACGGTATTTGGTTGGTATCGTTGTCTTTAACGGCGGAGGGCGATCCGGACTTGAGCATATTAAATGAATCGTTTAAAAGGCAATATCGTGATAAACATCCTATTCACCAACTGTTCTTGATTACACACAGCATGGGTCATCCTGCAGTGAAAAAATTTGGATCTGTGATTGGATGGGGTGATTATAATGTAGATGCTAAAACATCCGCAGACGCAGACAATGCAAAGATACGTGTAGGTTTACAAACGTTACTTGAACAAGTCGAAAAAGCTCTACAACACACTCACGAGGGCGATCCTGCACTGTTTGTGATGTTCGGTATGATCACGGCAGTATATGTTGTTCTCGAAGAGCCTGAGTTGGCACTCGATTACAATCTGAAACAACTTCGCTGCTTGCTTAATAATCCCCAGGCAACTCTAGAACACATGACTACAACACTCGAGGGCGTTGCCAGGAAACTCATGAACAAGAAAGATTATTCGAATGCAGTTAGATTTCACAAACTTTCCCTTGATCAGAAACAAATCAAACTTCCTGACAACCATCCGGACATAGCCGACTCTTACAATCAAATCGCTACTTGCCATTATGAACTTCATCAATTTCAAGAAGCCCTGTCTAATGCTCAAAAGGCAGTTTCTATCGCTCGCCAATCTCTACCAAACGGTAGTACTTTTAGAATTGATTATGAAAAAAATCTTCAACGCATCCAGATCGCTTTGAACCAATGATAGACATATTTTGATTTGTGTATTTTCACATTCGAAAGACTGATTAAAAGCTTCTGCTAGTTACCTTGATATCAGTAACTCTTAAGCATTTCGTAAATAAGACATCCTAATAATACGATAAAGCACGTGAGGGTGTTGGTGTCATTGTTTGAGTGTAGAGAGAGAGAGAGCAGAGTCCCACCCACACCTACACGCACACACCCTCCGGTATCTAGAATTCAATGGTACTCTTAAAGCTCTCAAGGAATTTCTCTAGTCAGGCAACGAAATCTTCTACTTTTTATCAATATAAGCTTAAGATTTTTTTTAAATGAAACGAACGAAAATTCATCCATAACTAACGACAGCTATTGATATATCTGTGCAGGATATATGTATATGTCACACCGGTATAACATGGACTAAACTTCTGCTCATTTCATATTCATATGATGGATAAAATCGGCTGATATCGAGACTAGCGCTTAAGTACGAACACATGAAATCTCGGAAAGTATTTCTTTTCTTTAAATAAAAACTCAACCAATGTCTATATATTGGATTAGATCTATGCAATTTGTTGACTATCTGACATAATATATATAGATAGTACAGGGCTCTTCTACCCACGGAAAAAAAATTTAAACAAAACCGCGGTTTGACCAGAGAAAACCGCGGTATTATTTTGATATCACTTAAAACCGCGGTTATCAACGGTTTTTTACACCGCGTTCAAGACAAACCGCGGCATGCACACTCATAACCGCGGTTCTGAATATAGCGGTTATTAACGGTTTTTCAAACCGCGGTGTACTTGATCATAACCGCGGTTCTGAATATAGCGGTAATNTGATATTACCACTTGGATATATCATGGACTCCCATGTGATGAGTCTCGCCCACACCCATGAGAACGAGAAAAAACAAATGCATATACAGCCTATGTGTCCTTATCGAAATGATAAGGTCATTTCATACCTCAGTTTCAGTCTCAGTATTCACTATTATATTAATCTATCAGATTGCTACTGTGAGATTTATTACCACGTGGTCGTTTTACAACTTGAGATAGAGAAAATGAATGATGTATGCTCGATGAAAGAGCAGGCAATATTTGTCCTTCATTTTCGACTACTTTCATCACAAGCATGGAGCTGAATCTAGCTCGTCTTCATTCCGTTCTACTTCAGACAATTATTGACAAAGGTCACACGTGTTCGATTGAAGATTTGAGCAAGATATTTCAGCGATCATCAGATGATATCATCGGTTGTCTAGATGATCTTGAAGAATATCATGGTGTAGTACTACATCCGAAATCGTCGGAAGTCTGGATTATTCATCCATTTTCTTTGGTGCCGACTAATTTTTGGGTGGAAAGTGTCCGAGGAAAATGGTGGGGTAACTGTGCTTGGTGTAGTTTAGGAGTTGGTGCCCTGCTCAACGAAGACGTCACCATTACGACGACACTAGGTGGTGAAGCGACTCAAATTCAAATTCAAATAAAAAATGGAGAAATTGTATCCACTCAACCACTTTTTGTACATTTTCCAATACCGATGAAGAATGCCTGGGACAACGTTGTCTTTACCTGCAGTGTCATGCAACTCTTTACTTCAGAAGCTGCTATTGCCGATTGGTGTCAACGACATCGTTTGCCTAAAGGTGATATTCAACCTATTGAAAAGATTTGGAAATTTGCGCAAGTCTGGTATGGAAATCATCTACGTGAAGATTGGAAAAAATGGACTGTTGAAGAAGCTCTTCATATTTTTAAACAATTTGATCTGACTAGTCATATCTGGCAAATTCCAGTCGCCAACGTACGATTTTAATCGTTTTAAGAGAGAGCTTTTTTGTGCTAGCTATTTACTACTTGATAGACTATGAATGATCATATTTAGCATCAATATTTGTCGAAAAATTAGTTTATTTTAATCCGTTTTAATAAAAATCCTTTTTTGTGTAGATTTTGACAAGGGAGCTATTTTATCTGTATCAATGGAGGGGACGTCGGTTGTTATAGAAACAGCACACCAACACTCAGCTCTGAATCAGTCTATCAGTACCGATAAACGCTTACACAACTACTGAGTCAATCGATATTTCGGTGATACTAGGAAAAATTCATCTGTAACTAACGACAGCTATTGATATATCTTTGCAGAATATATATATATATATATATATATATATAAAACAGGTATAACATGGACTAAACTTATGCTCATTTCATATGATCGAAAACGAAAACAACGTACTTCTGTTTAGTATTAAGCATCACTAAAATCGGCTGATATCGAGACTAGCGCTTAAGTACAAGTTTATGAAGCCCAGAAAAGTATTGTTTCCAATTCACACATAGCTAGAATTTAAATATCAATAAAAGCGGCCGTCGATGATAATCTTTTTTATTTTCTTTAAATAAAAGCTCAATCAATGTCTATATATTGGATTAGATGTATGCAATCTGTTTACTATCTGTCATAATATATAGGGTAAAATGATAGTGCAGGACTCTTCTAGTGTCACGCTGTATTTTGACGTTAAATTTGAGAAGAAATTTTCTTTTGTCATTGGTAATCTTAGTAAGAGATTAAGCCGTCTTACATTGTTGATGAGCTTCATTTTTTCTAGATGTCTCACATGAACAAAGTTCGTATTGTTGGTTCATATTTATCTCCATATGTAAGAAAAGTATTAGTGTGCTTATCTATTAAAGGTATTCCATATGAAATTGATCCAATAATACCATTTTATGGCAATGAAGAATTTTCTAAACTTTCTCCTCTTCGTCGTATTCCAGTATTCACAGATGATAAAGTTACATTATGTGATTCATCTGTTATATGTCAATATTTAGAAGATCGTTATCCAAGTTCAAATTTCGTTTCAATCTATCCAAATGATATTGTCAATCGAGCTAAAGCAAAGATGGTATGAAGAATATGCTGATACTTATATAGGAAATATATTTATATGGCAATATTATAATGAGGTTGTTATTAAACCGTTTGTTTGGAAGAAAAAAAGCGATCAAACAATAGTTGATCGTTCATTAAATGTTGAAATTCCAAAAGTGCTACAATATTTAGAATAAAATGTTCCAAAAGAAGGTTATATGTTTGATGAAAAACATGTTACCATTGCTGATGTCAGTATAACAAGTTTCTTTCGTAATTTATTTATAGCCAATGCTAAATTTGACGTCGAACGATATCCATTTACTTTTTCATATGTTAATAGAATACTTTCGTTATCATATTTTCAATCGCTAATTCCATTTGAAAAGATTAGTATCGCCACTCCAATTTCAAATCATCGAACGGCATTAGCCAACGGGAATGCTCCAATTAGTAATGAAACATTTGGGATTGACAAACCAAAACCCGGTGCATTTTCCGAACGACCATCATCATAAATATAATTAACCTTGATTTACATTGTATGAAATGAAATTTAGATTTTCGCTTAAATAAAAACGGTGTTTCATATTAGTTGACGATAACTTGCCCATGACATTTTTCTCTTGGTTTAGGAGCCTGAAATTTTTATCTCATAATAGAGTTGCAAGATAAAAAAAAGTTCAAAGATCAGTGACGACCTTAAGAAAAAATTTTCAGACTGGTCTATATTAAATCTAATCATACGAATCTTTAGTTTCAATTATTCATATGTATGTAAATTAAAATTCTTCAATGCATTGATTTATTTGTACCTTTGTCCATTCTGTCAATCATAGAGGAGTCGAAATGTGACCTTTTGATATTTAAATGCAAAAGTTGGTTTAGATGCAGCCTAAACTTACATTCGAGTTCTTTTTATCGAATATTGTGCAAGTGAAAAATTATCATGCATACCAAAAAGCTTCATTTCGGACAAGCACAGAGAAATCAATGTTCAGCCGCAAATTTTTATAATTATTTATTGAATAAGGAACGATCTACGACATTGAAAAGAAATGTTTTCAGTTATTCACATGGTCGACTGCTGCTGCCATTGATTAGATTTTTAGTCTTCGAAAAAGTATTATTTTTCTTGTTCTATCAGATTTCACATATTAGAGTATACTCAAATCCGCACAGCTTTTCTTAATATCACTTTTATTTTCGTTTTATCAGTTTGATTCTTTTTTTACTGCGTCATTCTCACGTTTTAATATTTTCGTTCTCTTATATTTGCGAGAACTACATATTTGACTTTTAGGCATTTAATTGGATAGCTATATATATATAGTGAGGGTGCTAATTTGGTAGAAGAAATTTGCATGAAATGGCCGTGAACCAATATCAGTTATATAAAAGATCTGTAAGGATAATGAAAACTATGTTATAATTGAATCTATAGAAGAGTAAAATAAATCTTCATGCTAAGATTTCTTTACACTGTCTTATGAATATTTATAGATGAAATCACGTCTAATTCTTTTACAATAAGAGAAAGAATTCAAATATGAACTCAAAGGCACTCATATACATTATGGTTTTCTCGGTTTTGATTGCGTTCACTAGTATGGTTATGGCTATGCCGAAGTAAGTGGACATTAAAATTCGTACAACAGAATGACTTGTTTTTACAATATATCGTTTGAGAATATTATAATGAATAAAATTCTTAGCTTTCCTTTGTTTTATATTACAATGCTGAAACTGCCTGAAGACAAGTGTGGTGGTACTTGCAAAGTTGGTCCGCATGCTATTGGATGCAGCAGTGAATGCTATTGCTCCGTTGAATGGGCAGGATATGGATCTTGTAAAAATAAATAAAAATATTCTTGAGGGTGCCAGTGACTAGAGCTTCAACCCACGCCCGCATATTTTTCGCTTAATTGATGATACTGAATCATGAACTTACAACCACTCGTTAGCTTAAAAATCTTTCATTTAAATTAAATTCTAAAATTCTTCTTAGCAAAACTCAGCTAATCATCAATAGCATGAGGTTCCATATAAAAAAGAAATGATTACAATATCATAAATCTCATTAAAAAAGAAGTTCTTTATCCAATAATCTTTGTGAATGGATGTAATACATATAAGATATAGAACCGATCGATTTTTTGCAGAAAACATTTCATAGGTGTAGAAAACTTGTAGTACGAAACGAGTTTCTTTTATTTCGTTCATTGACATCAACTGATAATAGATAATTAAATGAACAGTCAATATGTAAAAGTTAATTCAAACCCTGTAACACTTGATTACTAATTATAATTTACTCTTATTCAAGAGTTGCAAGATGATTTCAACAATTGAGTTTCGTTCTTCTCTGATATTTGTGATTGCGATTTAAAATTGATAACAGAATGAAAATGTATTATTAATATACGGTAGAATATCTGCCACTGTTGGATATCGTATTGTTCTATCATATTCTAATGAGAAACATTTCAAAAATTAGATAGATCGTTCTAGAAAGTTTGTAAATATATCTAAAAAACATCAATATTGTCTTTTTTTTAAATTTGAAACAGAAAGTCATCTATTTATAATATTTTGATAATAAACGTTATCAGTTGCTTGCAACGACCGTTCATTAAAACAAGACAATCTTCAAATGAAGATAAAATCTTTTGTTACTTGTAAAATATTATGAAGCGATTGTGTTATTGAAACCAATTCTTAGCAATATATTTAGACAGAACCAATCAAGTATGAGATCTACAATCGACAAAACATCATTAATTGATGTTGTTAATACTTTTAGGAATTTTTTTTTCTTTTACTATTCTATCGACTCGTTGATTATCAACATCCAAATATTGTCCAATTTCTGTAAAATGTAACATAATATTTCAGTAAGATAAATCAAGAAAAGTAACTTTTTTAACTGATTCATGTTAATAATGACTAATGCTTTTCCCCACATGCGCATATGTTTATTGTTTTCTCTCGATCTGGATGTGGATTGCCACCTAGACTAGCCACACCCACACCCGCACAGTCATTTCAGATTTGGAGAAAAGATTGACAACTATCGGTGCATTATTTCGAGAAAGGTTAATATGATTCTATTGATTGTATTCATTTGGAATGGAAAGAAACGTTTATTAATAATTATATAAAATAATAAAGAAAATTTTAAAAGAATTGTTAGTTTGAAAAAAATAATGACTGTACCGTTCTTCCTTTTCTAAAAATAGTATTTTTTGTTTTGCATCCAAATCACATATAAATGTACCTTTTATTTTCAAAATAGACTATTTTTAACATCGTAAACAGGAGGATTTTTTCATGTACAATATAGATTGATTACTTTATAACGAATTTTGTTTAAATCAAAATGCATGTCTCTACTATGGAAATTACCGATAGGAAAAATATTATAACTAATCTAAATAATATCTTCTTTTTGTTTTCTTGATAGAAAAAAATAATCATGTAATCATACATCATAACTTTAGAAATAATAATAGCTTCATCAATACGAGAAAATGGTGAAAAAATTTAGTGAACAATTTTTGTATTAAAGTATTCTTATTTTAAGGTTTTTCTTCACTTGTTTCTTCATTATAATTTACTACGTTCCCAATTGAATTCAACTATTATTATTATTTCGGAGTTTGAGATAAAAATAAAACAGAATCATGGTTTCTCCCTATGTTCGTAAAAAATGGCATGTACGTATTCTTGAACTTCACATCTTGTGTATATCCACTTTGAAAAAACTCGTAAAGTAGTTGTGTTTTCCGATATTTATTCATCAATGGAAAAGCAACATTATTCTACTAGCATTTGTAAACTGTTGAGGCAGACTTGTACCAAAAAACAACAATTTCAGTATTCAAATTCCTTAATTATATTCGTTGTATCTCGAGCTTTGTCATCGAGTAACAATAATTTAATACCATTACAATCCATGTATGAAGATTATCAATCTCCAGTGAAAAAAACACTTTATTAAATATTTTAATAAAGAAAAAATCAATTTCTTCAATACATTTTTGTTGAAGAGCCACACTTGATGTACATTTTTAATTCTCTTCTGATGTTGAGCATACAAATTTATTAACAATAATTCAATCAGAACGTATGACGTTAAGAATTACTATGGTAACTCACTTTTTACCATTCACAATGTTGGCAAAACTCATTTCAAAATATCAATATCTATTTTCAATTCAACATCAAAGTTAACAATTAAGTGTACAAAAAAATAAGCAAACAACTTTTCTTTCTACAATTGCTTGTAACATTTCCGATTTTCCTCTATAAGAGATAGATTTACTTATTCCATTTGGATTAGCTGTTGTTGTTTAAGTATTAATATTTAATGTTCTTGGCGAACCTGTTCAAGTTCACCTGCCAGCTGTTGATTTTGAAAATCAATTTCTTCTTTTTCAATATGTAATGTTTTATTATCAATGTTAAGTTTTCGAATTTCCAGATAAAGTTGTTGATTTTCACCATAAAATTGTTGTATATAAATATTTATCATTGTAAGCTGAGAATTTAGTTTTTCGTCTACTTCTCGGAGCCGCTCATTGTGACTGATAAGTTCAGTAAGTACCGAACGTAATGCTTCATATTTACATGTTGAGAGTGTGGGGCTTCTTTGATAGTGACACATTCACATCCATACACGATTATCCTATTATGAGAAGCCCATATATACCACCTGTTTTATTTCAGTCGTGCCGAACAAAACCGAACTCCAATCCTTTCTTTCAAGGTAGGCATACGATTTCACTCTTAAATTTCAGATGAACGATGTACCATGAGTAAATACCTTCCTCGGTAAAATATACATTTCTCGATCTAGACTTACTCAAACCAAGAACTCGCACCTAAAAGCTCAACTTCATTCCAACCAGTACGCTGACGAAAAAAGAAAAACAATTTTATTTTATCTAAATAGCACCGTAGAGTCCACAATCTACTGCTCCTAATATCACTTCATTTCAACCACAATAACCTCTCAGTTCGTGACTTGATTCTTTCAAAAAGTTTCTTTTGAATGTTGAATCGACTTGAAGATAATAAGTCACCCGATGAGATCCATTGAGCTGGATCGAAATGCGTCGGGGTAGCTTCCTACACACTCCGCACCCACACTCTCTCTGGCGATATCCAATGGAAGTACCCATTTCTTTTCAATTTTCTCAGCTTAATTTCCAATGAAACAATCATTCTGTGTAAGATGAGTCACGCACACAAGCAACGAGAGTCATCAGACATATATTTCTGTTTGATTTCATCCTTCATTCGGAAGAAGAAAAACCTCGACTTTTACTTGATCCTGTTGTGTCTTTTATTTGCACAATTTCTCCCTCTTCTCACAGCGTGTCTTTCGTTCGACACAACAACACAAATATTTCAGCAAATTACAAGTAAGACAATTGTACATCGAAATAACTGAATCTATAGAATTCAATAGTTTTCACTTCTTAATTGAGTAACATCAGATAAATAATTTTTCTGAATTTAATTTTGGATTTTGATTGCATGCGGACTTTTTTTGTTTATTGTATGTTATATACTGTAGAAGCAAAACAAATATGTTTTCAAAATTTTTGAAATAAGAGATAAGAACTCAAATTATGTAAGATATCTAATACTAGGATACTAAATAGTATCTATATCTAGAAGAAATGATTGAAAAGAGAAGCCGTGTCCAAGAAGGCTTCTTGGCGATGTTAGATATATTCTCATCAATTTCTTGGCAATGTCGACATAGATCTCTTCATTTTTAAAAGCTTTTATTTGCTCTCAAGCAGAATCTGTGACACGTTCGAGATTGTTCTATTTGATGAGGTTTTGCTTAATTGTCAATCCATAACCATAGGAGTTTTCACTGAAGATCGATGCAATGATTTTCTTTGCTTACACATAGATAATGTCATTTAAGAGACACTTAAAATATATTTGATTCCACTCGTGCCGAAATATTATTGAATAAATCAACGAATTCTTTCTTTATAGATATTTCTATGAATTTATTTCAGATCGAATTTATTCGACATACTCTAATAATATTTCTAAAACTTCGACGGATTCTTTTATATAATACATGGCGACAGCAGCGGAGTCAAATTTATGTTCAGTGTGTACTAAGCCTTTGGGTAAATACTTTTGCACTGGATGTAAAAAATATTTTTGTCCAAAAGATTTCAAAGAACATGAACAACAATTGTCAATCAAATTTGATAATGAAGTCGTGAGATCTCATGATGAACTTCTTGTTCAAATACAAAAATTAGAAAAAGCAAATCATTTTTCATCGGATCTTTTCATTCAAATTGAACAATGGAAAAAAACAACAATCAATAAAGTAGAAAAAGCAGCAGAAAGAGCTCGTCATGAACTCGGTGAATTAATCGATAAACAAAGAATGACAATAACAAAACAACTAGAACCAATAGCAAAAGAAATTCGTAGTCGCCGAGAAGAAGAGTGTTTTGTTGAAAATGATATTGATCGACTCAGAAAAAAAATCGGTGACATTCAACGAACAGTTGAACAGTTGAATCGAAAAGATACGACTAAATCTATCATTTTTGACAATGATCAAATCGATTGGAATCGAATCATTTATATCCGAGACGAACAACAATATAGTGACAGTGAGTATGATCAGCTTCAGATATAAAAGAAAAGAAATTCTGCAACGAATCAATGGAATATTGGAACGTCGTTCAATTCCATTGCTTTCAGTTCACGAAATTGTCTGTCTTTCTCAGAATTTTCTGATAGAATAGAAATTTCAGTGAGTATTCGGATCGACTTGGTAGTCTGGGCTGAAATTCCTGTAACCCTGACTGTCAAGTCTTGACATTTGAATATCGTACAAACCAGATCGATCGTTCAGTTGTTGAATTCATTTTCAAGCTATTCAAGAATATACTTTGTGTATTATTCTATGTTTGAAAAGTCGAAATGCTGAACGGTTCTAATAATGAAGAGGAAAAGCTAGAACGGGAGCGACAATCTTCGAGCATTTTTAGACACTTTTGGCTCAATCCACGGTTCTCTTAATCTCAGCGACAACAAACGCGTCGTCACAAAGACCGGAAACGACGAACATGCAACATGTCGATGTACGAGTCTTTTCGATTGTGGCACTCACACACTTCGATTCGCGCTTGAACAGCATGGTGCATCTCTGTTTTTCTTTTTTGGTGTCCTGTCCTCAACGGCTCCTCAGACAGCACCGTATCAAACCGCCAAATCAGTGTATGGGTGGCAAGTGTGGACGCAAAATGGAGTGGTGTTAGATGGTTCAACTCAAAAGGGTTTCGGTGGTTATACTTGCAAGTATCAAAAAGGCGATATTATCAGCTGTGTGATCGATTGTGACAAACGCAAGATTCGACACACGAACGAGCGAACGAAAAATACATTTGAACTCGATGTGGATGTGGGCAAATGTGCGTTGCCCTGGCAGTTACTTTTTGAGTTATACTACCCTAATGACTGTGTTCGTCTCTTGTAATCCCGAGTAGGATATTGAGAAAATATACGTGTCATCACTTTGATTACTATTTCTAAGTAAACTTTTCAGGAGTTTGCCACAAATGACTGATACGTCATGAAACCACAATAGATGACCTCTTCAAAGAAAAGACGCGGAGTTGTTAAGTGAGGCATTCACTCAAGGGGAAAATATGATACTTCATACTTCATGTACTTAAAAGATACTTTGATAAACATTAAAATACTTCGCTATACTTTGAGGTACTTTAAAGTACAAAAATACTATGTTTCCCCCTTGATATTTCATCACTAACACTAATAGCCACTATGAATATAAGTATTCAAGATTAAACTTTTATTTGAGGAGATAGGTGCGTGGGTGTGGTTGAGAGTGTGGAGTATGACTTTGTGCGTATCATCTCTTCATTCACACCCACACCCTCAAGATATTCAAGAAATCTTTATTGACAAATGAGTAAATTATGTCGCATATTCTGGCATAATAACTTTGTGAAACGAAAGCATCAGCTAAGAGTATCAATTGATCTCAGGTAAATTTTTCTTTATGTTCATATGCTAATAGTCATAATGTGTTCGATGAAGTTCTAATAAATATTTTTGATTGGTTTCTAAAATTGAGGAAATTCAATAAATTCTTTTAGTAGAACAATGAGACCGACTTGAATCAAATAAGGATCGAGAGAACGTTGACAAAGATAGATCAATTCAAGTGGAATATAATTCAGAAGATCACATGGATTCGAGAGACATATGATGTCTTCTAAGGATTTCATCAGACATTCAATTAAGTGCAACGTCATGCACTCAACAAACCGCACATCCTCAAAAAGCATATTCACAAGTACGTCCTCATTTTTGGAAAAGAAACTCACAAATTATTATAATTTAATTGCAAAGATGCCATATACCTAGATACACTGTGTAAGAAATCATTGGCACCAGTTTTTTTTTATCGAGTACAGAACTATATTTGTTATCTTATTGTTTTTCGAACCTGATAAATATTTTAATAAGAATTTTGCGATAGCATAGTTTCAATAGATCACATACAGGACTAAAGCAAAGTATAACAACTGGCGAATCTATTACCTATCTGTTATACTCTCCCCTTGATAGTTATTATTATTATTGATATTCAAAACATATATATTTAAAAGATGATTCTAAAAAAGAAAAGAAAAAATAAATATTATTATATTAATATCAGTTCGAGTAAGTGTATTTGTATTATTTAACTTTTGTTTGGATTAATTGCTGTGAGTTAATATAAAGATATTGCATAAACTAATAGTTTGTATAGTTACTCTAATAAATAATATGATTCTATCTCTTCAACACCGCATCAGGAGGAGTAAACTTCTAAGTTGATAATATGTTTGTTAATATTCGGATGATACTCAACCTTTTTTATGAAGACCGTTATGGCTGATTGTAGTAAAATTTCTTCTTCGCTTGGATACACCGACAACGATGAAATGTCTACACCTGAGTGAGCTAATCCACCAGGAATAAAAATTACAAACAACGTATTGCCACCGAATTCAAATGCTTTATGTTTATTTTTTGTTGTACTGGTAAATGCATCCCACCAAACATCTCGGCCAATGTTTTGCTTATAATCATTAACCATTTCGTTTGTTAATGTAGCACATCGATAAACAGTAATATCATGTTGCTTTGGACTATCACAAAGATATTTCTCCAATAGGCCACAAAATGGACCTAGTGTTTTGCCATATTCTCGATCTTCCTCACGTAAAAGCATTCCTTTACACATATCAGCTTCTCTCATGATTTTGTTAATCAATTTGTACAAAAAACTTTCTGCCGTATATAATTTAACACAACATTCCAAAATTTCATTTTTACTTTTATGTTTCATATGTCTCAATTCATTTGCGATGCTTTGTGCTTCTAGCGTTTTATTTAATTTAGTACCTTCTGCTTCAATGCCACAAGCAGCTTTTTCAATCAATTCACTATCAATGGAATCATCTGAATCCAATCGAAAACCTGCATTCTGAACAAACGAACGAAATGGATCTGTTTTGTTGAGTGACTTGTAATCAAGTTTCGGTTGTTCCATTGTAAATCGTTGTTCTCTAATGTGCTTATCCGACATCAACAAGCTTTCACGCTTAATGGGCCTTCTTTTATTCAGATTATGTTTATTGATTTGGATTTGATTATTGAAATCAATCAAACAATGATCCAATTCAACTTGACTCTGATTATTTTTATGTGCATTTTCAATGATGCAATTTTCAATATCTGAATATTGTTCCCATGTATCAGGCTCAACATTTGACCATGGATGAGCATTTGATTTCCACTTCCAGATTATTCGTGATTCCGAAGATGAATCCAAACAAGCCATTTTTTCTTTAAAAAAAAGTAGAAAGATGTATCGCAAACGTTATTAGCATAGAAGAACTGTTGGCATTGATGGGACTATGTTTTATTTCATTTCTTAATATCATGAATCATCGCGTTTACACAAAAAGCACACATTTCAATACTTAACCATTACATAGAACCAAACAAGGACATCAAAATAAATACAAATGATGAAGTGTGGGGAAAATAGTAGTTACCAGAGCATCAACCAGGCCACTAGGCCTGCCTGCCTATGACAGGCACAGGCCATGATCTTGAGGCCTGGCCTGTCACAGGCAGGCCAGGCCGAACCCTCGTCCAGGCAGGCAGGCAGCTTAAAAACACCAGGCCGCCTGGCCTGTCTCTATTCTTTATATATATAATTTTATTTTCGATATAAACATTTTTTTAATTGAAGTTGGCGCTAATAATCAGATGAAGTATAGAATAATGTATTGTGTTCATTGTGATTGATCCAAATGATGACTAATGTTCAGTTCAAATTGCGTAGTTCGTTTCCTTTCTCCATTCGCTCTTTGTGTTTTCATTTATCTGTCTTTTTTAATATTACTGATTATTGTTAAAACCTTTCTTATTGATTATTATATAGGTCTTTTTTATCGATTCTTAAAATCTTTACTATCGATTATCATCAAGTTTCTTATTGATTAATAGAACCCTAATTCACTCTCCCCCGACGACTCCCCGGGGATTTCTCCGGGGAAAATTAATGAAATTTTTTAAAATAAAAAAAAAACTTTTCAATTTTTTTAAATTTTAAAAAATTTTAAACTGGTTTTCTTCATTCTCAACATTAATTACATGTTTCTATTCTATCCTCGTAATGATATTAGCATTAAAAATAATTGACAGGCTTTGCCAGGCAGGCCAGGCAGGCCGTACAGAATGATAGGCAGGCAGGCCAGGCCGACCAAATTAGTTGACAGGCACAGGCAGGCTTGAAATGCAGAGGCCTGTTACGGGCCGGCCAGGCCTACAAAAACACGGCCTGGTTGATGCTCTGGTAGTTACGCTTAACTTTGAACGTTACAGTGGGTTTGGGTTTGGGTGTAAATGAGTTTAATATGGGTGTTGCTCTTTTATTCACCAGCACCCACACCCTCACAGAGGTGCACGCCAAACTATCATCTTGTGAGTAGTCTCTTTATAATAATCGCTGATAAGTAAGAGGTGTCAGTGATCACACGGTTTTCGCTTTCACCTTTTTCTTTTTGAAATAATGTTGTTGCAAATAATATTATTTCTTCTTTATCTACGGTATATACGTTTGTCTTGCTTTTGAATACATTCGTTATAGTGCAATCTCTCTCCCTCTGCAGAGAGAGTTCACCAAGAGAGAAAAGCAAAACAGTGAAAAAAGAACGTATAGAGTGGTCGTCAAATAATTTTCAATAGACAAATTCTCTGACTGATATCATTTTTCTTCCGTCTATCCTTGTGCAAATAAATCTACATACCTATATTGCTACGTCTACTAACAGTGCCTTGACGAAGAAATAAATTGCTATGTAAAACGTGGCTTCTTTTTTGACGATCGAGCTGAAAGCGAAAAATATTACACGAAAGAAAAAAAATAATCGATCTATCGCGGCGGACTTGTGTCAAAAGTGACAGAAGAAATGAAATATATTTCAAACGTCACACTTATCAAACAGTCAATCGCTTAATGACGACGATTAATAATTTTGAAAATGTTTCTTTTTCTCTGTTCTTGATTAACTATGATTGTGAAGAAAGAAAAAGGACTAGAGATAATATTTTCTACATCGATTTATTGAAAAACAACTCATCATGGCTGAATCATTGAACATGAAACATGGAATCGGTCAAATTCTCACTGAAAAAGGTCAACTGATATAGATTTGTCTTGAAGTTATCGCGATTGTTATTGTATTTGAATAGATATTGAAATATTGAAAAAGTCGTCAAATCTCAATGAAGAAGGTATTCATTTAATATTTTCACAATTATAAATATCTCGTTAATATTGTTCTTTTGCTAGAAATCAGAATAACACATGCTGTATGTGTTGACGTGTCAATGAAATAAACGCTGTTTTTTTTTCTTCTTTCTCCTGGATTAGGAATTCTGGGAGGAGTTTCCAGATGGAAAAATGAGCAAGGAAGGATTTATCAAATATTATCAACTGATTTCAAACGATGATCAGAAACCAAAAGAAAATGACGAGTATATTATTAATAAATCTAATGATATTTGAAAGACTGCAGTACGTAGTGTATCATCTTTTTGTTTCAAGCAATGCGTTTAGCGTATTCGACGAAAATCATGATGGTGTAATTGATTTTGCCGAATTTTTATTCATGTTAGCATGTGATTATAATAGTGAATTAGCAAGAAAATACGGTCACATGTTTGAAACGTAAGAATGTGCAGATTCAATACTCCTGTTTTGATATTTATCTTTTCGATTTTTTAGGCGTAACACATCGGGTAATGGACAGATGAATAAAAATGAATTGATTGTTTTTATAACGAATATGGTATGTCTTCGGATGATATTTTGTAAAAATATAAATTCAGTTTAATTGGTTTAAGTTAGCACTATCTGGTCGAGAACATCGACTCGCTGATAAAGATCCGGCAACAATTGCCAGTATAACATTCAACTTGCTCGGAGCTGAAGAAAATGAAACGGTGAACAAAGAGCAATTTATTATTGGGTAAATAGTTAAAAAAATTATTTTTTGGGTATAGCACTTGATTGTGATTTTAGATGCATAAAATATCCGATATTGGTTGATCTTTTCAATGGTAATTAACATAGCAGAATCATCTTAAAATAACTCATCACATATGCTGTTAGGGTGATGTTGCACATTGACACAATCATTATTATATGTTATCATTTATCTTCTCTCATTTTTGTTTAATCTCTATTGGTACTCTCTCTTTTCGTTCTTGATATATGTATATGTTGATATCGACATCGAGTTTTTCTACTAGACGGTAATTAATATAGTGCAGTACTTCAGTCTGCGTCTAGAAGTTGATAATATGATAGAATTAGGGTACTATTAATTGCCATCAATGCATTTGCATTTTTTTATATAATTTAGTGTCCCTGCTTACATCCGGAAGTAAATCATAAGGAGAAGATTGATAGAATTCAATGTTTGCGTTCGTGCCCTGAGTCAATTATAACGAGATGATTGATATAAACCAATGATTTAGCCCACAGTTCTGAGTGTGGGTGTGCTAGTTTTAAACTTCTAAATCCATTGTCACCCTCGCATCATACTCACACCACATCTGCACCCTTATTATTTGTCTATATGCTGAGATGTTAGAAAAACAAGAGATTTTAAACATTTTGAGGCATTTGATGGATGGATAGATTATTTGCTGTTTATTTCTGGTTAAAGTTTGACTACATAAAATGGATATTGAATAAAAGAACAGTACTTGTTGAATAGTGAAAAAACTACAAACAGTCTCATCACTCAGTTTCTCTCAGATTTAATGGAATCACCTTCGTTCCAGCTGGAAATAGTGAAACGATGTCGCCAATTGCAACATCCAAATCGATTAGTATTTGATCTTCATTGATTAAAAGTAGTTCATACATATGGTAGCAATCTTCCAAAATGTGAAATATTTGACAAACTTCTTCCATAATGGTCGAAAAAAGTGTTTGTTCAGAGCATGGTAGCATAGCTGTTTGATTGCAATATGTTATAGAACATTTTAACATAGCCTTACAGGTCAATTTCAACTCGAATTTAGTTTGCGATAAATCGAGATCATCTAAGGACAAGTCATCATCCAATTCATATTCAAGATATGTCAATTCATAGTAGAGATCATTGAAACCAAATAATTGACAAGCAATTTGTTGCAGTCGTTTGACGTTAATAGAACTCGAACAATAAAATATGGCTGATTGTTCGTCGCCATCTGAAATTATAATAGTTACTGGCAGATTGTTATCGATTAGCTTAAAGTGAAGCTTTGCGGATCGAAATGATTTTAATAACGTATCTATTGATGGTACGAAATCATTCGAATAGAGAAGGTATTGATGATTCTTATCGATATTATTTTGTTTACATACATGGTCAATAGTAGCAGACATGAGATACCGTTCGGGCATTTGAATATTAGACAATTGAACTTGATTTTTTTCTATCTCAACAAGACATGTTTCTTTTTCTTTAGCAACAATAAAATAAACTTCATCTAATGTGGATAGATTTTGGTCATTTGATATTACTTTGTGTGTCTCTTTCGATGCTAAATATTTGTAAATATTAGTGGGTAATTCTGTCTTCTCTAATAATTGTTTGGCAGTCAGATTTTTGTTCGGTATCGGTCTTTCTAATAAACTTTGATCGTCATAGATGAGTATTGTCATCAAAACTGATAATTGAAAACAAATTGGTTGATCATCGATAGATAAATAACAGACAACAGGATTTTGCATGTCGTTCTGACGTAAAATTCGATAATTTTCTCCACCAAAAATAAGAACATAACTATTTGGTAATATTTTCAGACCTACATTTCGAAGAAAGCGTTCATTATTGAGTAAATGATATACCGGTGTTGATTTCAATGTGCAAATAGTCTGATTCTTTTCTTCGAAAGAAATAATAACCTGAACAGTCTCTTTTTGATTGATACCATCGAATAAAGCTTGATCTTTCGCTAATTGTAGGGGTTCATTCTGATCGATAACAATTTTTTCTTTCCTATCCCAAAAGACGAAATCATCGATAGGACCTTTTACAAGTGTTTGGATCCATCGATTGATCTGTTGCCAAGTTGTTGCCGGACAAAATAGACTTGTATATTGCTGATCTAAGGAAAAATAAAATATAATATTTGAGCAATATAAACTTGTCTCTAGTTTACCTTTGTTTAATTGTAGTGTAATCTCACAGAGAGAGTTAGTGTTATTACTTTCTTTTACGACTATATTAACCATTGGGTTATTACCGACTCGATAGATACTGCCCACACTTGTATCAGTATTAAGACATTTACCGAGCTCATCAAAGAAACAAAGAGAAGCATCAGGTGGTGCCATTTGAACTCGGTTGTCATCAATGAAACGATATATAATGGATAAAATATCACAGGAAGATGTCGTGGAATATTTAAGTAGATTTGTTCTGAATTGAAATTGAAGATCAACTAAATGAGTTTTCTCGATGATCGAGTATTCTGATGATATTTGTTGTGTTAGTTGACTCTTTTTGCTTAAGAAATCGATGGTTATTTGATTCTGATCGATAATGGAAAAACTCTTGTGATCATATCGTTTTCGATCGAAAAGTTTGCTTAAATATATATATAAATTTTCATGCTTACACATATGCAAACTTTGTTTTCCATCAGGATATTTGATTGAAAATTGTTGAACGTTGGTTGGAAGAGTTGATACTACTAAGCGCTCTCGGTCGTAAATTTTGTTAATTAATTCTGATGATATTAATGGAACAAATTGTATATTCAATTTGAAAAGTGGCCTATACTTGAATTTAATTTCTTCTGTAATTGCTGGACTGGCTGCTGATTTATCTACTGAATCTAATTCTTCATCAAAAGAACTAGGTAGTGTCTTTTCGGGGCTGGGAGGCGGAATATCTAGTTCCGTCGATGGAGAACTACGTTCTGGAGTTTTCTTATCCTTTGAATCTATACCATGACGAGTTATGCACTGTAATAAAGATCGATAACAACTTTTAATTCTAGTATTTAGTGAACTATCGGATTCAAGATCGAAATCTTCACTCAAAATTTTTCTTTCTCTTTCTTGAATATTAATTGTTCGTTCTTGTAAAATCGATCGCAATTGAATCAAATAAATATTGAGTGAAACATAATGTTCACATTTGATTGTATTAGGAATTAATTGAAGTATTGGACTTTCAACAGCTAAGAATCCGCAAATTTCTCTCAATGATTTAGTTGATTGTTGAAGGAGAATGTCTTCGATGGCTTTTAGTTCATTCGAGGATTTAGTGATTTGTTGTACGATCGATTGAAGTTCATCAATCTGAAGATCTTCATTTGTAAGATTGAACACCGATTCAAATATTTGACATAGTTCATTTCGCGACTGTTCATCAATCGAAGTATGAAGAAGATGGGGCACATCAGTAAACAAATATTGAAATCCACCAATCGATTTTTCGTAAACTCTACGTACATGATCGATATAACATAATTGAAAATTTCTTATTTCATATCGTTCTAATTGTTCTCGAAGATGATCATTTTCATCAATTCCTTCTGATTCAAGAAATTCATATAATCCTTTCGAAGAAAAATCATCGGTATTATGTCGTAATATTGTAGCTATTTGTCGAAGAAAATTATGACCATGATAGAGTTTATCCAAATACATTAGTTTCAAATGTTTCCAATCGGTTTCTAATTGTCTTTCGTCAAGCAATATTCCATAGTTTTCACCTAGATCTAGTATTTCAGTATTTTCTGTTGTATTCGTATGTTGTATTTGTCTCACATAACATTGATACTTTTGAGCAATTTGTCGATAATTAATGTGACATCGTAGAAGATATGTACGAATAATGTACGATTGTAAATACATAAAATCGACAGTGAATTGTGTACCGAATTTTGGAAAATACTCATCCTCAACTAAGAGACTTGCTCGACATAGTTCTTCAATCCAAGAAAAATCGTCGTCAGTCAATGTGATAAATCCATTATTATTACTGGCAATGGTTAGTACAGATACTTCTCTAGATATCAGTTCATTAGTCAATATCTTCAATATACCAACACCATGATTTGTGTCATTACTCATTGTTTGTTCAATCAAATCTAATAGACTGTTGTGATAATCGACTAGAACACTAAAACAAAGAAAATCACATTGTCAATAGCTATCGATTGCAATCGTTTAAAACGGCCTATGAAATGAGAAAAATGTCGTCGCATACAAATTCAGCCATTTTTATTTCGATAGTTACACTCTTAAAAATTGCTACTGGCTAAAACAATTCAACGTTTTAATACTTGTCTGACTTTTTGTTTTACAGATAGCTTTTTAAAAACTCATTTACATAGATTCGAACTTCAATATATATATATATTAATTATGTAGATTTTATCACAGTTACCAATATACCTGAGTATGCGCATTGTAATATCTCCTTCATCATGATTTTCTGTTGTGACAAAATGATGCACTGGCGTATCGTGTGAAACAGCTGAGAATCGTTGAGTTTCATCACGAGCACCCGGTCGAATAAGACCATCCGTAAATTTATGGTAAGCATTGATTGCTTCAATACCTTTACTAATAATAGTTTCATGATTGTTAGTCTGGTTTGGATTATTCTGATGATGAGAGCTAACGAAAAGTTTTTGTGCTCGATGGTACAGTTCTTGCATTGTGATATTTATGAATTCGTCACTTTCAATTAGTTGAGTATATGTTTGGTGTAGCAAAAGATAGAATCGACTCAAGTCAGGAATGTATTTTGTCATTTTTAGAATATCAACCGAATCCAAAATATGTCTTAAGAGTTTCAGCGGTAAAGATGAGTGCATTGGATTACATAATTCAACTTGGAAATGTGCAAAGTGAATGGTCATAGGCATTTGAGTAACGAACTGGTGTAAACTGGTTTGAATCTCTGATCGCAATTGCAATTCATTAATGTATGTTTTGTGTTTAGCTACACTTTGAAAAGCAAGAAAAAATACTTCACTCTCGTATTTTGTTTCAGCCCTGAGTTCATCGTTAAGTGTACTGTAGATAGGTTTGATCCAAGAATCCTGTTGATTTATAGTTAGAAAAGCCATTTGTTCGAAGCAACGTCCAAGTAGAATGCAAGTCTCATCTGTATTCGAGCGAATCGATAAAAAGTTAAAAGTTGACAGTAATCGAGCACGAACGAAATAGCAAACTTTTGTTCGCAAATTGTCACCAGCAATACGAACATCGATTGTATTATCGTCAATAGCACTAGGAGATAAAATGTGACCGTACAAATTTTCAACGGACTTGTCAAACAAGAGTAAATGCCACGCCTAAATAGTAACATATTACGAATAAAACAGATAAAATTTATGAACAAACTCACCATAGCACCGAAAGTTGAGAATAAGACAGTGTAAACAGCTGGAACATTCATAGCACTGTGATTTTTTCTAGTTGGAAATCTGGTAAGATCTCCATTCAGTGATAGAACACAACCAGAGTCATAATGAATTCCATTATTCTGAATGATGGAATGTGTTGTCGATCCGAAACCTATTTTAGTCAGATAACAAAAAGACAAAGCATTCTTTTTTCTCCCTGGACAAATAGACATGAATAATCTACTATAGTACTCACCAAATGTATTCTCTAATATTAATGGTTCAAAAGCAAACGTCCACAGAAAGCTCTGTTTCCCACCCATCAAAATCATTGCCATAAGATTGACTAGACAATGACGAATGGCTAATTCATCTTCCTCGTTCGAGTCGAGTTTAAATAATCTTTTTAAGCAGTTGATATCTTCATTAGCATTCTCTTGTGTATATCCGATAATGTGCTCCTTGGGTTGTAATAATGCTCGAAATACTTTTAAATCTTCTGGCAAAGGTTCCAGTTCATCATTCACGATTTCTAACAGACCCTGGACTGATGCCAAGTGATTACTACAATAATAGTTGTAGTAGATATTCAGTAGTAACATAGCTTTAATTTCATTCGGCTTGAGTTGAATAGGATCGGAATTGAGCTTGGTTTCAATCCAATCCGATAGAGGCTTCCATCGTTCTTCGGGTGTATCATTTATAACACAGTTCTCAATAATCTTGCATAATTCATCATAGAACAAATGAAGATATGGAAAAATTGATGAAGTGTCCGGTTTTGAAGCTACAGCGAATTGTAGCTGATGGCATCGTTGCAAGTCTTTTTTCAAACAAACTGGTTCTTTTGATTCAAGTAGACGATATAAATGATGTGCCCATTGATTATTTACATTTTGAATAGGATCCGATTTGAGAAGATCAAGAAGAAAAGACCATGAATGCTTTGATACAATAGTGGCAAGAAAAAGTTGTAAATGAGGATTAAATTGAACTATTGGCTCCTCAATGAACAAGTATTGCTCGATCAAAGTTTTAACGATATGCATAAGTTTTTTTGTATCATCTGGATTCAGATTCGTATCACATAATAGTAAGCCAGTAAAATGTAAGATAAAATAATCCTTAAATTGTTGAAAAATATTACTAGCAGATGATAGGGGATGTAGGGATTTGATAGTTGGCATTTTCGATAACATTAACTTTGTGATCAGTTTAGTATCTATTGTCGCATCATTGGCGTGTCGTTTCAGGTGAAAAAAGAAAAGATCAATTATTACCGGACGTTCTTGTATTTTTGTATTATCAATAACGATCGGATGATAGGGAAGTTGATAATTTTGCAAAAATTTATCATCTGAGAAACATTCCACAATGGTGGAGAATAAATTAAGGCGATCGAAGAAATTAGTTTTAATTTTGGTCGGTGTCGGTCTATTTTGTTGGGCACCTTGAACTGAGAGGTTTGCTAATTGATCGAATGCAAACTGTTTCATAGGTAAAGACCAGTGACATAATGATTGGTTTAAGTATTTGAACAAATAATTGATTTCATCTTTGCACGATTGTG